AACGATGTTTGACTGTACCGTGGTTCTATTCCTCGCTGGAGAAGAGCTATATTTTAACTGGTTTTGTGTTTACCTTCAATCTTCTGTCCGATAGAATTTAACCAAGTGACATTGCCGGATTGATTACAAAGTAGTGTTGCATTGCATCCCTCTTGCGTGTTGAACGTACTTAGCATTGAACCTGTAAAAAAGAACATCACGTTTCAGCCGTCAGTGTACCCAGGTGTGGCCCCGATGAGGTCTGAAGAAAAAAAGCGACGTGTTACTGTATAAACTTCCGTAATTATATATATTGGTCAATATGATCAAAATGATAGGAATGCTATTTTAAACGTTGTGCACTACCAGGCCCACAAAAACATACAACAAAGACGTCTGAAGGGCTGCCGGCTTTCCATTCCACTCTTAACTATAATACATCCGCCGAAACGTCTTAGCGGTTTCCCGGGTTTGTAATGACGGGCTTCCAGTTAAGCAATAGGCCCTGTTATGGCCCGCCACCGGAAAGTGGGACTCCTCCCGTCTTTACATAAACATAAGAAGAAGGAGGTTAAAGCTCACTGATGCATCTTAAAAAGAATTTTCTAATTCCTCGACGGTCCTCGACGCATGGTATTTAACGCCTCGTCTTGGGCTACAGTCTTCATAAAAGTGAATAAAAAATATAGCTTCGAAAAAGGGCTAATCAATATTTTTTTAATGCATCAATGATAATAGAATAACTCCAATTGAAGAACTAAAAAGTGACATTCGTTAGGGGTTACTCAAGTCGCCAAGTGCGTTACCTTTAGAGCAGAAATTTTACCTTCAACGCCAACGACGCTAGCGAGGCCCTGAGAACAATCAGAGAGCGACAAACAGGGACTCCATCTTTATCGTGCCAGACCACGCGACAAAATATGTCGTCGAAGTCAGGTAATAATGCCACATCCCGATAATTATTCTGAAGACACGGCATTGTTGTGCTTCGAAAAATTATGTAACACCACTCATATAATGCATTGGCGCATGGTGGTTTAGAAGATTGATCATGAAGCTTCCTTAAGATCTTGAACGAAAAAGACTCGACTCATCAAAAAATCCGTGAGACGATATGAAATCAAGATCAACATAAACACTCCACGCTTTCGTTGACACGTTTAGCCAAGTAAAAATATTTCTCTTATCTATCACATGTGTCTTCGACATCCTCAAATATTTGCTTTATTGGAGTGACTTTGTACAATGCATCGTGTAACATGAAATCCAGTTAGCAAACAAAACTGATAATTCTATTAAGATTATTTACTTGCCTTTTCCGAATGCAAATAAAATCCAAATAAATGCCACAGAAAACGGGATCCAATTTGCTTCGCTTGTCATAATGTAGTAGATTGGATGTTGTGAACAGGTTCCAGCACGCGACCTATTTCGACCGATTTGTACCGAGTAAAGTTCAACAAAATAATGTTGTATATTACAATATTCTATTTCGGTTCCTCAGCTAATAACAACAGGAGTGGCCAAACATCTCAATGGGTCACCGAATTGTCAATACAGTTTTGCTGATACCGGGTCCCATATTTTCCAATCGGACCCCAATAATAACTCGGACTCGACCTGCTTTATTCGGACACGAACTTAAATCGGATCCGAATTGCACCAGTCGGGTCCTATACTTCAAATCGTAATCGGACCCGAATTGTTGTGAAATCGGGTCCGATTTAAATTAGTCGGACCCGATTTCACAACAATTCGGGTCCGATTTTTAATTGGTTCTGGGAAATTGATTGGGTCCGATTTCTCAGTAAAGCTTTCGACTAAGGACAATAAACCCTACGCCAGCGTTTTTTCCTGGCTTCGAATACAGCTCTCATTTGCTATATTAAGAACTGTACACAGATGCATCAGAGGTTCTAGGTATCCATTCAAATCACGTGAGGTCTCAGAAGACTTCACTTTCGCTGTAGCTGGTCTACATTTGCACTCATAATTTAGGCCTAGATTTTTGATAGTTTTTTTTCTTAGTAATGCTTGATTTTCCTTTTCTTACTTTTAAATTATTCACAATTGCAAATAGTTTTCTATCGTGGACATATATTTAGCTTTTAATTTGTAAACAATACGATATAGTTTAAAATTGTAAATATTACTTATTGTTCTGATACTTAATAAAGATTGGTTAATCATTTTATTATTATTATTATTATTATTATTTATTATTATTATTATTATTATTATTATTATTATTATTATTATTATGAAGAGCGTTCACTGTTCTTAGTTATCGGGCTCTATCTTAGAAGCGTCTTTCACAGTTACCTAGATCTCTGTTACTCTACTAAATGATATGTAATCCTTTCTAAACCCACCTCCAAGGTTTATGGTTATGTTACGTTCCTGGCCAATACAAGTGATACTTCCTTCATCGTTCTTCGAAACAACAGAGATCAGCAAAGTTGAAAAGTAACCAAATGCCAATGTTGTGAACCTAGGATCTGCAAAAAAGAAAACCAAAAAAATCCCAATAAGGGGTAAGGATGCGAAGTCTATTTTTCAGCGATGTTTTCATGGACGTCGCCTTTGTGCGATCGTAAGGTCCCTTATGGCCTATATAAGGGTTACTTTTTCAGGCGTCAGGGAATATAAAATAGTAGGGAATTTACTAGTTGAGGTATATAAAAGGTTACCCCGCAAAAATGTCTTTTTTTTTGGTAGAAAGTCCTAAAAGGACTAACAGGCGCATTTTATGGCTGTGATTCTGGTGAAGCAGAATACAGTCAAACTCCGCTCTAAAGACACCCGCTTAATACGGCTACCTCGCTATTACGGACAGTTCTCTTTGTCTCTGGGGAAAGAAAGCCCTTACTTTCTACTGCTACGACCCCGCTCTGTTTTTGGTTCTTTCGGTGTCGTGTTGATGTCTTGCAAAGTTAATTTTCCGTGTAGTACGATCACCTTTGCAGAATTCAGTGTGTCTACTCAGTGTATATTTTTGCTGGTCAGGTTTTTTATAGATCCTACGTTTTGCGGTATACAGTCGACTCTCTCTTAACGGACACCTCTGTAAAACGGACACTTAGAGTTGGTCCCTACCTTTCTTTACTCCTTTTATTTGACTCTCTATAAGACGGACACCTCTCCAAGACGGACACTTAGTGCCGGTCCCAAAGTCGTCCGTCTTAGAGAGAGTTGACTGTATTCGTTTACGGTCCTTTGCAGTTAAAATGTCAATTTCTTACTTTCTATAAATTTAACCCCCGTTAATACGAACACTTTCAATGCCCTCCGTAACAACGATGTTTGACTGTACCGTGGTTCTATTCCTCGCTGGAG